TACCTTGTGGGGGATGTGTCAGAAGGAAAAGATTTAGAGGCTGTCAGGGTGAGGGTCAGAGGTCAGCTGGGGTCAAGAAGTCTATTTCACTGAGGTCACTCTCGTCTCCTTTCAATGTAATGAAGCCATTATTGGTGAAAGCAAGTGCCTGGCGTCTTGCTCTGTGAAGCAAGGCCCGCATGGGGAGCAGGACTGAAAGAAGGAAGGGGACTCCCTTGGCTCATCCTCCTTCTGCCAATTCAACAGGCCTAAGAGGTGAGAGGTGCACAGTCCTGCTTGATGTAGGGAGCCTTAGTCCTTGAAGAAGGATAAAGATGATAGCATGGGGCAAAAACAGATTGCTTCACAGTGTAATTAGGAATTCTCTCTCTCTTTCTCTCCCCCACTCTCTCTCTACACACACACGCACACACACACACCATATTGCTTTAGAACATCAGAACTGGAAGAACATTTGTCTAACATCTAATCCAATTCCCCAATTCCCTGGAACTATATATACCATACATTTTACTTATTTGTGTATTGTCTGTCCTGTCCTCTAGCATATAAGCTCTATGAGGGCAGGAATTTTATCTGCTTTGTTTACTGATTTATCCTCAAAGCTTCAAACAGTGCCACCTGACATATAATAGATGATCAATAAATATTTTTTAGCTGACTCAGATGAGTGAATGGAAACATTGTACACATCGCATTCCCATCTTGATGAATCACAGAGCACAGAACCATACTAAAGGCTTTCAAAAGTTCTGCAGAGGAAACTTAGTTAGCACAATATTTTCCAAAAGACTACACTATAGAAAGTTTTTTTAAAATGGTAAGATGTATTAATCATCCAATGAAACTAGTATTCTGAGGGACACGTTGTGGGAAATACTTTTTTCAAATGCACACCATCATTTATGTTAGCAGACAGTCAGGGCTTTAACTCCAAACAACCACTCTGTGGACCTCAAAAACACTTGACAAATGGGAGCTGAACGTGGGTGATTGCCTAAAAGAGCACCTGCTTTGGCTCTGGCCAGCTCTTTGATTTAGAAAGCCAAGGAGTTTTAGAGAGGATGATCAATAGAAATGACAGACTAGAGCTGTGGCCCAGGGAAGAAGAATCTTATTTAGTAACCGCGTTGAGTATATAATCTTCCTCCATCATCTTTTTGCTTGCACGTACCTTGTTCCTCATTGGCAAAATGGGGATAGCACCAATTATAATAGCAACACATTAGGGCTGTAGAAGCAATGTGAGCTTTGGAGTCAAATGTGTGGGTTCAAATCTGCCTCTGCCATGTATTAGCTGAGCTACACTAGTCAAGCTATATTGATTCATTAAGCTTCAGAATCCTCCCCCTATGCTGGAAATATTAATACCTATTACTCAGAATTATTGACAGCTTTGAATGAAATAAGAAAAGTGCCTGTATTCTTAATAAATAATAACTGCTGTTATTACCACCTATCAGAATACAAACTTCACAAAGGTGGGACTTATGTTTGTATTGTTTATTGATGTGTTCTCACCATTTAGAACAATTCCTGACACAGAGGAGGTACTCAATAAATATTTTTAAAATGTCGAATAAGTAATAATTATTACTAAGACCTCTTTCAGCTCTTTCTTTTATGCAAATATAAACCTACGTAAGAGGAAATTGGCCAAGTACTTTAAAGGAAAGATCTTTATATTGATACTAGACAACTTTTTTCCCTTTTACCTAGGTAGTATTATGCCCAGAAACCAATACACAAGAAACTTGCAATACTTAGTTATATCAGGTCTTGTCTCCCTATCTAGACTGTAACTTCTTAGAAGGCAGTGAATGTTTCTTGTTTAATTTTGGGGGGGTACGTTTTTGGTCATTACACTACTCGACATATTTTACTTATCTGATTCCTCCACCAAATTTGTGAGCTAACAAAATGACTGGATCATAGTAGGTACCTAAAAAGTTTTCACTGAGACAGGGACCAAAGAAAGGAAGATTTGGTCAGGAGTCCCCATCGCCCACATGGAAACAACCCATTAGGGATGAGGGATCAATTATTTTGGGAGTCATGTCTTCTTTCTTACACTTGATCTTAGTCAAAAGGCTGAGAAGTGATATCTTACTTCCTAAAGAATCCTCTGCCTCCACACACACAACTTTATGATGTCTTGAACCCCTCCTGGGTTTGTAGTGTTTGCACCCAAGAGAGACAGCCTAGGAGAATAAGTTTTATGACTATTGTAATAATTTTTATTATTGCAATTAAAGCCTATTCAGGACATACTTCTTGGGTGTCTTCTGTGGGCCAGGCACTGTACTAGGTACTGGTAAAGGTGTGGGAGAAGATGCACAAAGAAATAACACATGTATGATCCCGGTCCTCAGGAGGCAAATGATCCAGTAAGTTCTAGATCATAGAGACAAGCATGTGCACAATATATATAATAATAGTAATAATTTACATTATTAAGATGTAACCATGTCGGGCACTATTTTAAAAGTTTTACCTACATGATCAAGCCTCATAATAATCCTAAGAGTAAAACATTTTCATTATCTTCATTGGACAGAGGAGGAAACTGAGACATATAGAGGTTAAAGAAGTTGCCCCAGGCCACATAGCTGTCAATAGTAGAGCCAATAGCCAAACATGGGCAAGCTGACTTCAATGCCTGTGCTCCTATGCATAGTGTTAATAAACGGGGAAAATGATTTCAAAACATAAATTAATCTCTCTTCAACTCTGTTTTTTTCTAAAATAAAAAAGTCTTCCCTTTCCTCACCCGCTATGGCCACATGCATAGTTATACCCCTTTTTCTGAGAGGGAGCTTGAGATAACTGCACTGCTCTCAGAGCCTCATGTATAGCTGGAAATGCCCTCTGTTTAGCATTGAAGCGAATCACTTCATTCATCTTAAGTGTGTCAGGGTCACTGGAGGGCTGAAAGAATAGGGTTTTCTGGGAAGGACTTGGAGGCGAAAACTCAAGAAGGCATTTTCAAAGCTGTGAGCCAGGAGAGCATGGCTTTATTCAGCACCGTGGACAGAGCCCCCTCGCCCTCAGGACCCTGGACAGAGAAGTTGGTCGAGCCTGTTGCGGGGGAACAAAAATTTCGAGGAATAAGCGAAACCAGAGCGCTAAACTCCCCTTTCCCTCCCTTTTCTTCAGCGAGATCTTAGTCCTTCCTGAATCTTAGTAATAGATGTAAAGGGAGCGAATGTATTTTTAAGGGGGCTAATAATGGAGGGAGAAAAGAGTCTCTAGTGGGAAGGACTATATAAATTAAAATGGCTTTGGCAGATGTTCTCGGAGAACTCTTGCAAGATCTAAAGTAGGATCCTCAGTTGAAAGTGGGGGATTGCTAATTGTATTTGTTAATGATTTATATATTTTAGGCTGAGTAGCAAAGGGCTACAGTTGCCCTTTTTTTATTTTTTATTTTTCCCCACCTATCCCCCATCTCTTATATTCAAGTTTAGTTTCTTGGAGAGCACTCTATGTAGGACAGAGAAATAATCTCTTCACAGCCCCTTGCTCTTCTCATTATCTTCCCCTCCCCCTACTCATCCCCTTTCTCTTTCTCAAATACACACGAAGGGGTGAAGGGTGAAAAGCAAAAGAGGTTCTGAACACTTGGTGGATAGGATTAAATTGAGAGCAAGCAGATGCCCCCGAAAGCAGGCTCTGTCCCTTTAAATGGGTTGTAGCAGTGGGGGAGGGGAACTGGCCGGAGCTGGCATTGTCCAGTTTGAACTGAGCACCGGAAGTGAAGGGGCAGGGCCAGGGCCATGCACTGAGCCCCGGGCCATTGTCCATCTCCAACCAGGGCACTAGCCACCCCCCTGGCCAACCCTCTTTATCTCCTAGAAGGGGAGGCTGCCTCTTAAAATGAGGAGACTCCCTACTTCAGTTCTCCCACCAACCCCACTGTGGAGAAAGGAGCACACTTTAGGATGGAACTCTGAGAGGAGAGTTTGGGAACCTGAGAGTGTCCAGAGTACTGGAGAAAATGCCTGGACCCACCTACCCACCTAGTCCCTCTCCCAGCAACGGATAGGGACAGGATGGGATAGGAGCAGGATGAGGGCAGCTGGCGGAGAGAGGAACACAACTCAAGCCTCTGTGGGTTCCTCCTGCTCTCCCAGAAAGCTCCTTGTGGGGTCGATTTTAGACATATGTTCGGAAGGAAAGATTCTTTACACGGAATCAGGAGGGCTTTGAGAGCTCCAGAAAAACTCAGTAACTCAGAGAGGCAGAGACATACAGTTAGTCAGAGACAGACTTTGAGAAGCAGCACCTTGGTCTACACTGGAGATCAGCCCTGCAGGGACTCCAGCCTTCCCCCTGCTTCCCCATAGCAGGCTTCCTAGTGTCCTGAACTCCAGGTCTATCTAAGCACACGGGGGTGGGGGGTGAGAGCGGGTCAGCGCCGAGCAGCCGGGTCAGCTCGGAGGCCTGAAGGGGAAGGGAGGGGGAGGGGCGCTCAAGGACTGGGGGAGGGGGAGGGCTCATCCATTTCTCCCTTGACAGGTGGTTTGTGTCTCTGATTGGCCAGCGCCGCCGGGCTCACACCTCCCTCCCCCAACTCTCTGGAATGTATAATTATCTGTGTGGGGGGTGGGGGTGGTATGTGAGTGTGTGTGGGAGCAGTCACATGGTTTTAAAACTGCCCCCCACATGTCCCCTACCTGTATGCTGCTTTGGGGAACCCCCAATGAGTCCTTAAAGTGCAGGATCCAAAATTCAGGGGTACTCAAGACTTCTAGGGCTGACAGCCCCCATCTCCAGTTGTGTGTGTGGGGAGGGGGTGCCGAACCTCAAGGTTCTGAGAAGGGACACCCCAGAGGTGTCAGAGACCACAGCAGTGGGGGAGGGCAGGAGCTAAAGCCGAGGGAAAGGGAGGGGAAAGAAGGAGGAGAGGGGAGGGGGCTGCCCGCGGGGGGTTGGGTCATTGTCTTTTAGAATTTGGGAGCCTTTGAAAAGCCGTGGGCCCTCCCACCGCTATTGTGCTGGGGAAGATGTAGCTGCCTCTTCTCCAAGCCACCCCTTTGCCTCCGGACTTCTCTAGGGCCAGCAGCCGCCTGACCTGGGGCCCGGGGCCGCGGGCTTAGCTGACTACCATGGGCTCTGTGTCAAACCAGCAATTTGCAGGTTCGAGCTCGGGACTTGTTGGGGACATCCTAGGCTGCAGGGGCGCCCAGAAGCCACATAAGAGGGAGGTGGGAAAGTGTCCCACAGGCTGGCCGAAGGACCCCAAGTTTTTGTGGCCTCCTGCTTCAGGGGCCACCTCTGGAGCAAAGAACCCTGGTGTTCCCGCGGCGTGCACGCCGAGGCTACGGGGGCTGGGGGAGAGAAGAGGAGGGGCCTGTCCGGAAGTCTGTCCCCGGGCAACGTGTTGTGGGAAGAGGAGCAAAACTTTCGGGGCACCGCTGGCCTCAGTGTAAGCTTGGGGAGCGCGGGAGGCAGCCGGGACAGGTCTTTAATCGCCAGCTGCTTGGTAGCTGTAGCCTCCTGGGTGTCCGCCCGCGGGCTGGACACTCGAGTCTCCCTGCCGGGCCTCTGAGAGGGTCCTCCAATTCCGTGGCCCCCCAGCTGAGCGCCCTCTCAATCTCCAGGTGGCTGCGCTAAGGCGCCGGAGGAGGCGCCGGAGGACGCGGCCCGGGCGGCAGAGGAGCCGCAGCTGCTGCACGGTGCCGGCATCTGCAAGTGGTTCAACGTGCGCATGGGGTTCGGCTTCCTGTCCATGACCGCCCGCGCCGGGGTCGCGCTCGACCCCCCGGTGGACGTCTTTGTGCACCAGGTGAGACCGAGTCTGGTAACTTTGGCGGGGAAAGGGATGTTGGCGCGTATATCCAAGGGTGGGCGGATGGACTCGGCTACTGGATTGAGGGAGATCTAGGGCTCTCATTGTGCGTCCCATCTTCGCAGTAGCACCCCAGTTCCGAGTCCCCCTTAACTCCAATGGGACTAGAGTCGGGAAGAGCCGAATATCAGCACCTCCCACTCCCGGGAACCCCTCCGGCTTACCACGTGTCACTTCTTTCCCCTGGGAAGGGGGCAGGGGCAGAGAGGTGACCCCATGTGGCAGAAACTAAGGTTGTATTGTGCTTGCTGGTGGGGGGAGGGCGAGCAGGCCGGCCAGGGAAGCACATGCCCGGGCCATAGCAGGGCCCCGAGCGCCCGTGGCCTTTCACTAACATGTGAAGGGAGCTCCACGAGGGATAGAGGGAGGGAAACTGCTCTGGGATCCAACCCAGGGTAAAGCTGAGGTGAGCGGGTCTCACCCAGGTGGTCACGCAAATCTCATGCCTTGGGGCCTGGGTGGGTTTGGCAGATCCTCGAAGGATCTATTTAGGGTCTTGAAAGCTCCTCTAGGGAACCCTTCTCAGGCACACAATTGACCCACTGGGCTTTTGCTGTCCAGTTCCCACCAGAAAGGAAAACCTGAGGAGCCCAGGCCTTAGATTCCTGGGCCAGACTGGGACGGAGGTCGCAACCCCAAGTTCTCTGTTAAAGCAAGGCAGCACAGTGGGGGTGAAATTCAGTGTCGCAGGGCAGGGGGTGGAGGCAGGCTAGCCTCTGGACCTATTCTCAGCTTGGCATTTATGGCCCCAAACAGCCATTCATTGCTGTGCTAACATTCCCGGCCTCAAGGAGCCAGAGACTTAGATTCCCCTATTCCCTGGCCTCTCCTTCCTGGATATCTTAGGAGCATTCGGGGGGTCCTGGGACACCAGGCACGCATAATAGTCACGTAAAGAAAGTTGCTGCTTGTGTCCCTTCCACCTTTGGAGAAGGTTTGGGGCTGGGCCCAGGAAGGAGAAATTGCTAATCCCAGGCCAAGAAGGTTGGCACCCAGGCCGGGTAGGGAGGGGTTACTTGGGGAGGTTGGCTTTAGGAACTATGGGGGAGGGGAAAGAAGGATGTGAGGATTAAGAGTTGGAGCCTGATGGATGGTATTCTGGAGGAGGAGGGGTGGAGAAGAGATGCTGGGTGGACTCCTTGGAGGCCCTCAGTGAGGACCTAGACTGGGGAAAACTAGGGAGATACAGGATGCCAGTTAAGTGTTCGGCACTTGGGTCACTGGGCTACTTGACTTGAACATCTGCCAGAAGGATCTGCAGCAGGATGCTTACCTATTCCCTTGTTGCACCATTCTTACCCCCATCAGACAAGTAGTTATGACTGGTGACTTTGCCCCCTTTCTCATCTAATTTACATATGTGAATGATAACCCACAGGAAGTAATTGTGGGAGAAAGGAGGGAATTGGCCTCTTTAGATCTATTAAATCACTTTATTACAGGAACCAGCTTTGAATGGCCCTCCTCAGCAGGGTGACCAGCTCCCCTACTCTCCCATTTATCTGATCACAAAGAGATTAAAATCTGGTCTGGAGAGGACTGGGCATCTTCCCCAATTTTGGGAGGCTTGGGATAAGAGACCCAACATTTTCTTGCCCCCATTCCTAAGGCTGCCAAATAGGGAGAGGCTGAGAGGAATTTAGCTCCTCATCATCTAGCTTTTAGGGAACCCTTCTCAGGCACACAATTGACCCACTGGGCTTTTGCTGTCCAGTTCCCACCAGAAAGGAAAACCTGAGTAGCCCAGGCCTTAGATTCCTAGGAATTTAGCTCCTCATCATCATTTAGCTTCCTTGGTCATGTAGAGAAGAAACTTTCCTCCACCCTCAAGGTTCTTTTGACTGGTCTAATCAAATAGATTAGCAAGAGAGAATAACCAAATTTAATACATACATGTGTATGGGAACTCTGCATACATGAGAGAGTCAGACCCCACATGCATGAAAAGGGAACATGCATGAAAGGAGACATCTTGAGCTAGGGATGAGGTGTAAGGTGCCTTGGTGGCTTCAAAGGGTCATTGCAGGACAATAAGAGCAGATGTTTAGTAAATAAAAGTTTGCCCTGCCCTATAGGTGGGTCAAAAGAGGTTATCTGTGATAATTTCTTATGGGCAAGGCCCCTGATTCAAGTTCTTCTAACTGGTTAAGGGAGAGGAAGAAATTTCTTTTGAGCTCACAGCTAAAGTTTCCTTTATCTCAAAAACAATCTGCATACCACAGAGGCATATCTAGGGGTGACTAGTTCTGAACCCCAACAGTGATAACCAAATCCCAGGAAAGGTTTTCCTGAGCAAATGGATCTGTGCCTCAGTGCACTTAACTTTCAGATCAAAAGCAATTGGAAATATCGGGTGACATGGAGGAAAGCAGGAATCTTTAGGTTTGAGAGTGGAGCCAACACCATGTTGTTTCAGGTGGGTTAGTTAGGACATAATCTGTACTTGAGAATCTTAGAATATCCAGGGAAATTCCACGATTGAATAAGTTATTAGAGAATTGAGCTGGGATAAGGAATCAAGAATTTGTTACTACCAACAGTCAGGACAATGACTGAGCTTTACCTGGTAGCTCTTGATAGCACACGGCAGGGGCTTGGGTTAATCCTCAAACTCGACCATAGCAGTAAGTTAGATGAGTGATCCCAGTCCCCGCACTTGAGAAATTGGAAATATCTCTCTAGTAATCTAATGTAGAGGAATTAAGTAGACTTAAGTGATCCTTAAAAATTGTCTTGGGGCAGGAAAGCATTCCCAAAGTGAAGAGGGTAAGACCATTTATTTCTCTTTAAGAAAACTTCCCCTTTGGCTGCTGGAGGTAGGCACCTTGGAGTTAGGGTGCAGAAGGTGAGAAGGGTAATTGTCAGGGAGCACCTTTCTAAGTAGAGAAGGGAAAAGCAATTTAACATTTTCTTTTTCTTTCTCAGGTAGGCCTGCTTGGTTCCCAATACTGTTTACTACTGTTCTTATGCTCCCTTTCACTTTATGCCCCCAGGTGTGAGTGAGTGGGAAAGAAAACCCACCCTGAGCCTTTAAAATAAAGCAAAAGGATTTCTTTAACAATGCTTTTACTCAGCCACAGGTCATCATATCTAGAATTCTCTGCCTGTTCCTGGGCTTAGGGGAATTTAGAATCATAATGGCAGATGGTCAGCCCTTAAATCAAGGTTTCTCAACCTCAGCACTATTGACATTTGACTAGGATAATTCTATGGGCATCCTTCAATTGTGACAACCAAAAATGTCTCCAGACATTACCAAATGCCCCTGGTAGGCAAAATCACCAATTGAGAAACACGGTTATATGGGGAACGCTGGAGCAAGAAAGAGCTAAACTGTCTTAATTTCCTGAGATTCTGAAATCTCTGACCATTTTAAGGGTTTTGACTTAACTTGTGTTTCCTGTGGCTCAACTCCCAAACCCTCAAGATTTGAAAATGAGAACAAGCCTCCTTGCTTTCTCCCACTACTCTTCAGAATCCACGTATTTTTAAAATAGCTCTCTGGATAAAATGCTGTATTAGAAGACTTGGAGGCAAAAGAAGAGTCCAAATTTAACTAAGGGACCAAGTTTGGCTTAGAAAAAAACTTCAATACTGAGAAACTGCTGAAGCCACGTGGCCTGCTTTTTCTGAGGACAAGTGGGGGTGGCTAGAGCAACCTCAGGCAGGGTCTAGGTTGGGGCGGGAAGGGGAAAATTTAAAGGGATCTTTTCCACCTGGTTTATAACATTACTTGGTGCCTCTGCTTACTCAACTCCTGTCCAGTTAGTGATGTACTCGTCTTATCCTCTCCCCTAACTTGTACACTCTGAAGAAAGGGACTAGCTGTCTGGTTTGTTGGTAGCGTGAAGGAATGAATGTGAAGGAGGAGCTCCTTAGGAATCAGGAGTACATGAACAATTTGGAGTCCTTGTCAGCAGAGGTCTTCCTCCTGAGTAAAAGACCGGAAATGGGGAGAGAGTGTTGTTAACTGGTAGCTCTTCCCTTTCTGGATGGGCTGGAAGCCATGGGTTTGGTGGTCATTCATTAAGTTACTTTATTTCCATCTTAATAGGAAAAAACAGATTTAAAAAAGAAAGAATCATTTTGGTTTTTAGGAAGTCGGTAGAGAAGTACTTGGGTTATTTTGAGCATTATGGGGTCTTTTGGGGCCTTTTTCTCTGAGGAGACTTGCTTTCTAGATAATGTCTCAAACAAAGTTGTGCCACCATCCTGAGCAAAGCTTCCACTTTGAGAAACTTGTATTTGGTGACACTACTACTTGCCCTACAAGTAGTTTTCAGTGACTTCCCCCAGGGCATTCCTAATGAAACTATAACATTCTCTTCCTGGAATTCCATGGGTTTTTAGGTTGGGGGTGGGGGAATAAACACCTTAGGCAAAACCTCTACCCCTCCCTTCTTCCTGCAGGCATGAATAGTTATTGCTCTGTGTTAAGTTTGGGAGGTCAAAGGAGGTAGGCAAGGAGGAAGAGAAAACTTTCAAGAATAGTACATAATTAGTACAGACTAATTTTAAATGATCTCAGTGTGGAGTTAATTTAATTCAGACAGGAAACCACAGTCCAAGTAAATGGTTTTTGTGAATAGCACAAGATAATAGGGTTACTGGCTTAAAACTCCAGGATTTTCTCTTCTGCACTATTTGAGTGGGTGGGGGGCAGGGTGAGGAGTAAGCACCCCATCCTTCTAGGGACCCACTCTGGGCAGGGTTCTCATCAGAGTTCAGCCGCCTCGAAAACTCCATCTTGCTGAGAACAGGGGAGATGTCCTCTGGGGAGATAAATCTAGGTGAACACTTGTGTTCACAGTTGTGGACCAGGCAACTCCCTTCCGCTCCAGTCTCCCTCTGGCTGCCTTTGTGCAGACCAGCTGATGAGCAGCACCATCTGGTGGAGAACTCCAGGCGGGAACTCTGGCGGTCCTAGCTATGTCTGAGCAGAGGTGATAGGTCTCTTCCCACTCTCCCTAAGGCATAAACTATCAAACTGCTTCTGGGAGAACTGGTTGGTTTCCTAGCCCCATCAAACCCTCTACTTTCAGGACACCTCAGGATTGAGTCATTAAAATTAATTTCACCTGTTTTTTACTTTTTAAATATGGCAATTAGAAAGTTTAAAATGTCTATGTGACTTGCATTATATTGCGTAGCACTGGTTAATGGAGTCAGGCTAGTTTCATTCAGCCCAGTTCTGCCTTTCACTATGAATTTGGGGCAAGGTGCTTAACCCCTCTGCCTCTATGACCTCAGCTATGACACAAGAGTCAGTAAGGCCTACCTTACAGGCTTGGTGTGACAGTTACATGTGTCGCAACATGTAAAGTGCTTAAAACACTGCTTAGCCTATAATCACTAGTAATTTGGGGGAGCGGAGAGCTTAGTTTGTTCCACAAATGTGTGTGTACTGCTGGGCATCTAGAACTGAGGATATGGAGCTGTACTAGATATTCTTGAGCTGGAATGGTCGAGTGCTGCAAAAAAACTAAGAACCCCAGCTTTGATACCACTGACCAAAGCGAGTATCCTGAAATCCTGACTTTGCCACTTATGTAGAAAAGAGCAGTGTGACCAAAAAATGGGCTGTTTTAGAGGAGGCAGGGACTTCATTAAGCCTGCTTTTACAGATTAAAGAATCAGAGTACCCAACTTTCACAGAGCAAATTAAGGGAAATTCAGATTCCTGTGAGCTTTTTACTCCACATTCCCTGAGTGACCCCTAAGGTCTTTTCTATCTCTAAACTTAATAAAGGCATAAGTGGATGCTGGGATGGGGGAATTTGATGTGGGGGAGGGCTGGAGTAGATAATGATGAGGTATGAAGGGAGCAGAAGTCCTTCCCTGCCATTCAAAAAAATTTTTTAGAGACTTCAGAAGCCGTTTTCTGTCTATTTAAATGCCATCTTCCCCTGCGCCATGTACCTCCCGCCCATCCTCCTTCCTTGAACAAACTGGGAAAGGAAGATAGGAGGTCTGCTTCCTCCAACACCTTTAAAATAATTTATCTGAATGAGTGACTCTAATTCAGGTTCCTGTGTGAACGATTTGACCTAAGGCACGGGAAGGGAGGGGGTGAGATCCTGTTTAGTTCCACCCCTGGAAGCATGGGATGTCGGGTCAGAATGAAGGAAAGATGGCTGCTAGCGGTGACTTTAATAGACCCAGCAAGCTTGACTGGGGAAGAAAAGTGTCTATATGTTTCTAAAATGGTGACCATAACCCCAACGTGAAGAGGAAGGAAGGAACTGATGAATGGTGAATGGGGTGGGGGGTTGCGGGGGATCTGCAGCCTCTGGAACTCCAGGAATCTAACCACCAGAACCAACCAGTGTCAATTCTTTGTTTCCCGGGGCTGGGCTCTATTGGGGGAGCTCAAGCTTTGCCCCTCCCCCCAAAGCCTTTTCTTTTTTGGATGGGATGGGGAGAGGGGCGGGGACCTGCTTTGTGTGTGGTTGGGGCTGGGGTGGGGGTGGTAGCAAGAATTTCTGGCTTTCCTGATGCAGGCCCTGTGAGGCTGGCTCAGTGGGGCTGCATGCTGATTACCTATCTGATAAGAGAGGAATTCAAACTATTTGTTTTAGGAAGGGGCAGAGTGGGGGCAGGGAGCCACCCTTGGAGACCACCAGTCTAAATCTAGACCAGTTATGGCGAGGTGCCTGCAGCGTTTTTTGTTTTTTGTTTTTTGTTTAACTCTTTGAAAGTCTTAAGCAGAACTCAAATCCTCCAGTGATGGAGAGGGTGACTGGTGCGGACTAGTCAATTTCATATTGTTCCCTGTTTATATTATCCTCTTATCACAGTAAGCCTATGAGATATAGATAAAGGAGAGTGTTGTCCTCAGTGAACTGGAGATCAGAGAGGGGATGTTTTTCTGAGTTTCCAGGGATAATGATAAAAACCAGATTTAAAATTCTGAGTCTTGACTCTTGGTTCCCACCGTTACAGTCTGAGGAGGTTGGTAATTGCCACTCATTGAGGATTTAGTGTGTGGCTATGTGTTAATTACTTTTTGAGCATTATTTACAGCACCACTATAAAATTAGTATTTACTCCCATTTTGTAGATTAGCACGGAAAGGAGGGAACAAGGTCCTCAGATTCCAAACCCTTGTTCTGAAATCACTTATCTGCTGAATCACGGCTAGGCCTAGGGGTGTCCCAGGCTGGGAGCTCACTAGGCAAATGGGAGATGCTGGAATTGCCTGGGTCAAGAATGTTCTTGGTTCAGCTCCTCAAGCACCTCCTGACTCACTGGCTTGTCCCAGCTCAGTAAGAGACAAGTCAAATCCAACTTCATATTCAGGGTAGTAACTGCAACATGGAAGGGGAAGGGTGCTTGCACCTTTCTTCAGTGCTTTCATTTCCTGTTTTAATGCTCCACCTCTTCCCTCACATCAACACTGGGGAGGGGGTCCTCCTGGGGGATTAAAAAGAAGTGAAAGCACTCCCAACCTTTGTAATATTTCCATGATGGGTGGAGAAAAGCTACAGATAATACATGAAACATTTACCGAGCACGTATTCTTAATGTTTCTACGTCCACGTGATCTTCATTGGAGCTCTACCTAGATAACCTTGCTGTTAGCTCACTCTGAAGGATCTGAGGCCCAGAGGTGAATGACTGTCCAAGGCCATGCAGCCAGAGATTGATGAACCAGTCTATGTCTGGCACCTGAGCCTATGCTCTTAACCAGTTACCTCAACGGAAGTTTTGTTTCAAGCAATACCATCTAAATTAAGACAAAAGTGGAAGTGATTGAGGGATTGGGGGTCCCAACAACTGGCTTCAAGAGCATGTTTTACCAAAGACACAGTTTGAAATAGTCACCAGCGGCAGCAGAAAATACTCATTCTACTTATTCATGTTCCCTCAAGCCCCAGCTCTAGGTACATGGTGATCCCTTTTGCTTCTCTGATCCTCGTTTTCTATGATAACTACACCTTGTTGACATTTGGCACTCTTCTGATGCTTTACTATAATGGATGGTGTTATGTGGATGGAGGCTATTCTGGGTAGGTCCTGGGAGGGGCTGTCACATCCAGTAATGTGTTGTTGAATCAGTAAGTAGCAAGGGGTGATGGGGCTGTAAGCTTCAAATCAGGAACCCTGATTTCTTCTGACACTGGATTTGCCACTCAACTAGCTATTTTTGAAGGCTGCTATGCTCTTTACAAGTGTCAGTATTTTTAAATTTTGATACAAACGTAGTGTCTTGATGGGATTGTTCCACACATTGTAAATATTTTTTCCTTTAACAAGATAGTCTGATCATTTTTCCAAGGCAAATAATTAAAATCTACCTCTTTGTTCATTAATTCACCTCAAAAATGTGTGAGGCATTACTTAGGCATCAAAATGCATCAGTGAACAAAACAAGAACTTTACATTCTTTTTAATGGCTGCATCATGGTTATTTTTTACTAATGAGATTGAACATGTCATGCTGTCCTACAAAATACCTACTTCTGTGATTCTTTTTTTTCTTACTGAATTATAGTAGCTTTTGGTAGTTTTATCATTCTAATTATCTGTCTTGACTTTTACAGTTTTTTGGTGTGGGTGGGTTTTTTTGTTTGTTTTGTTTGTTTTCTGGCATTTAGATATTTAAGTCCTCTGGAATGTACGTTGCATACATATGATACAAAGTGTACAATTCTGGCTTCATTTCCAAATGGATAGCTAATTTTCTCAATGGTATTTACCGAATTGTTTTTCTTACCTGTTGATTTCTCCCCATATACGTGGTTCTCCTAGTGGACTTTTCCCTTATAAATTACAGACTCATCTGCTTGGGTCATACTGTCTTTCCTCAACTTTCAGCAACATTATTTTTGATATGATTTCAAACTTGGAAAGAGGTTGCAAATACTAACAATTCCCATAAAACCTTCACCCAGAATCATCAAATCTTAACATTTTGTCCCATTTCCATTATTATTTTTTGTTGTGCAGATAGACTTAATTTTTCTCTTCTTAACCATAAGTTGCAGACATCAAGCCCCTTCATTTCTAAATATTTCATTGTAATTGTCAATATTTTTTCCTGTTCTAGGATCCAATACCAGATCATGCATTGCATTTAATTGTTCGGTTTGTTTACTTCAGGCTTTCTTTCATGAACTTGACATTATTGACGTGTACAGGTTTATTATTTTACATTTTGTGATTTTCTATTGTTTTTGTTTTTTGTTTTTTGTTTTTTATAAATGCTATTTAAAATTTTTTTCTTCCATTCTACTTTACTCAGAACTTTGAACGAGAATAGCTGTAAAAAATGTAATGGCATCTGTTTATATGATTGTTTTTGTTAATATAATGTAGCTTTCTTGTTCTTAATTATGGTAACTCTTGGAGTCAGTTTCTTTACTGATAGAATGGAAGTATTACCACACTTGTTCTTCCTACATTACAGGAATACATGTATGCAGGTGTTTTGGGGGGTTGAGGGTTGGGAGTTGGTATAATGATGGAGACTAACATTAAAATCTACCATGTTTCCCTTCCCCAGAGTAAGCTGCACATGGAAGGCTTCAGGAGCCTGAAGGAGGGTGAGGCAGTGGAGTTCACCTTTAAGAAGTCCGCCAAGGGCCTGGAATCTATCCGAGTCACTGGCCCTGGAGGGGTGTTCTGTATTGGGAGTGAGAGGCGGCCAAAAGGGAAGAACATGCAGAAGCGTAGATCAAAGGGAGACAGGTATGGATTGGAAGGTGGTTTGTGTGGGATGGTAGGGATGTGGCTGAGGATGGGGCGAGCTCTCCCAATCTTGCCCCATTTCTTGGACCAGGTTGCCAAAGATAAAATGAAGCCTGTGGTCCCTGGCAACATCTGGATGGTTGGGGTACCTGCCATAGATGTGGGAGGTGAGGAGAGAGGATAGTGTGTGAGAAGGGCACCTAGCTCTTCTATCTGGCATGTAATTTTGCTCGGTGAACTCTAGCCTCAATTGCTAAGTAGGAATAGTGAACCTAACCTCACATTATTTTAGAACTGAAGGAGACCATGAATGTGAAAGTGTTAAGTGGTGAGGACGAGATGGTGTATCTGTACCTGTTGCTTCTTCACTAGGTCTCTAAATGGTTGGTTTCCTTCATTGTATCTCTGTGCTTGAGTAACAGGTACAGTTTTAAGAGTGTGGTAGAGTCTTAACTATCCTCAAAATTGCAATTCCCAGTTGGGGTCTGTGATTTTCTATTCTTGGTATTTTGGTATTTTCAAGTTGTCATGAATCTGAAGATATCATCTAGACAATTACAGATTTGGAAAGATATCTAGTCATATTCCTACTCCAAGAAGGGAAGTGAGTATAACAACTGGACCATGGCCCAAGTGTCCTCACTCAGAGAAAGGCTTCTGATCTCTTCTTAACTCCTTTCTCAATTTTACCATCCTGTTTTGTACTAGGTGCTACAACTGTGGAGGTCTAGATCATCATGCCAAGGAATGCAAGCTGCCACCCCAGCCCAAGAAGTGCCACTTCTGCCAGAGCATCAGCCATATGGTGGCCTCGTGTCCACTGAAGGCCCAGCAGGCACCCAGCTCACAGGGAAAGCCAACCTACTTTCGGGAGGAAGAAGAGATCCATAGCCCTGCCCTGCTCCCGGAGGCCCAGAATTGAGCCACAGTGGGTGGGGGAAGGGGGCTAGCCTTTTGTGATCAGGAAGTTTCAAGGAGCAGGCATCAATCGGCAGAATGGAGAAAGTGGGGACAGGGTGGGTAAGGGGCAGCTGGCACTGCCATGTATCTCAGGCCAGGGTCCACAGCATCACTCCTTCTTCCCTCTTGGCAGGGGCAAAGGAGTGAAGCAAAAGAACTCCAACCATGCTCTATTCAAATGCATGTGAGGGATTTGGGGGAGATCCCTCCCCTGCAGTGCTTTGTCTGAGTCTCCAGACCCAGAATCTCCAGCTTTTGATAGTAAGCTGGATATAGGGATGTTGTTTTCCTTTTAAAGAAGGATAAGTAATATTTCCAATGCCAGAGTGAAAAGATAAAGCATGAGACCAAACTGATGGACCCAACCCACAAATGACTACATTCCATGGGAGGGAATCTCTCAGGGGTAAGGCAGGGTTTTTCCACATCTTGTCATCACATAACCCACTCTTGGGATAGGGTGCTGAGACTGTCCCAAGCAGTGAGTTGTGACGATAGGCAAAAACAGTGGTTAGGGGAACGGCTGCAAACCTGCTGCTCCTAAGCTCACTTCCAACCCATTCTGGGCCAATACAATTTTATTTATTTGGTCCCTTGGATAACTGCACCTTGGGTCCCACTTTCTCCAGGATGCCAACTGCACTAGCTGTGTGCGAATGACGTATCTTGTGCATTTTAACTTTTTTTTCGTAATATAAATATTCTGGTTTTGTATTTTTGTGTATTTTAATCTAAGACCCTCGTTCCTGCACTGTGTTCTCAGGTACAAGAGCAATCTCAGGGATAAGTGGACAGCAGCTCCGGGTCTGCACAGTAGGAATATTTTTTGTTGTTTTATCACCAGGGAAAACAGCTATTTGGAGTATATAGCCTATTGAACTACCTCATTTTTGCCAATTAGAGCTGGCTTTTCTGCCATAGTGTCCTCTTGAAACCCCTCTACTTTCAGTGTTTCGTGGAAGACTAGGTTGGCCCCATGACTTGATCTACTGGAATATTAGAAATTAGTCTGAACAGGAATGGGTGGTGCAGAGGTTAGGAGAGGCCGAGCCAGGTAAAAGGTGCAGAGGGGAAGCCAAGATTAGGTAAGGGTTGTCTATATATGTATAATAAAGGATTCCTGTTCCAGACCTCTAATTCCAGGGTTTGGGATTCACTTTACATACCAGATCCATCCTTCACTGGATTGGGCTAGGCCTGCCATGCACAACGAAGTGTGTATGTGTCTGTTTATAAAAATATATCTATATATATAAGTTGGTAAAGACAAGTTTTAAGAACAGTAACTCTGTACCCATCTTCAGCTGCCCAGGGATGGATATATGAAGCAAGGACTAAATTCCTTAACCTTTAAAAATTCTGGGCTTTTCCTCTTTGGCTTCCAGAGGGACCGTAAGTGCCCAGGGCCAGTGTCCTGCCCTACCACAGTAGTGGTTAATGTCGTGGTAGCTAAAGGAGAAAAGACGGTTTCGTTTACATGCTGTGAGATCACCAAACACCTACCTCTCTGTGTTGAAACGGGGCAAATGCAATAGAACGCATTGGGTGATGTGTGTCTGATCCTGGGTTCTTGTGTTCCCCCCCTCCCCCCCCACCCGCCAGTTGCTGCCCCCTCTGGTTTTGTATTTGTTGGGCTTTGTGGGACTTCACGAGTAGCTGATTTGGTGATTGCTAGGTGGCCTAGTTTGTGTAAATATAATGTGTTGGTCTATCTCAATGTTCTTTTGGGGTTTTATTGTTTACAAACTTCTTTTTGTATTGAGAAAAATAGCTAAAGCATCTTTGACAAAAGGTTCTGCACCAGGCAAAAAGGGTCTGAAAGATAAGCTTGGGGGATCCCTCTTGAAGTAGGGGTCTTGAACCATCCTTTCTTTTGTTTCCCCTACCCCTAGTTCTTACTTTGAACCACATTTTCTGTCCTAACAACTTGACGCCTACCCTATCTCGCCCCCTCCCTCAAGCCCACATGCTCACGTACATATATTTAGTTTGGTGGAGTGTATCCCCAACTCTTAAATTTTGTGCAAAAAAAACCTGAAGAAGCTAAGAATACTCCATCCCTTGTTCCAATCTCTTGCATCAAGACCATTCCTTGACATGTGATTCATGCCAAACACTTAGATTGCATATTCAGTTAGATCAAGCCTACTTTATTCTCTAGTCCTAGGGTAGAGAGAAGCCTTCCATTTTGAAAGTGGGGTTGGAAGACCAAGAAAGGGAAGATGAATGTATATCCAAGTCACTCCGGAACTTTTATGCAGGTGTAAGAATCTTATGTCAAAGTAGCCACAAGATTGTTTAATAGGAGACGGACGAATGTAACTCCATGTTTACGGCTAGAAACCAAAGCTTTGTGTGAAACCTTGAATTTATGGCGGGGAGGGAGGGTAGGAAAGCATGTACCTGTCTGTTCTTTCCCTGATTCCTTCTCCTCCTTTCTCAACTGCAGGAGACTCTGAGCCCCCTTGGGCTTTGGTGATCCCCATCACTGGGGACTGTTTATTTGGTGGTTGATTTTGCTGTGCTGGGTACTGGCATCTGCTATCATTTTGTAACACACATGCTGACCCTTTCCCTTTCCCTCTTTTCCCTGGGAAAATAAAGACTTATACTGAAACTGTCATCTTATTAGATATTTAGGGTGCTTTTCTCTTCCCAAAATTCCCACCTTCTTGGATTGGGACACAAAAGTCACAGAAGAATCACTTAAATTTTCTGTTCAGCCATTTTGTTAGGAATGAATCTTTAAAGTTCAGTCCTCTTAGCACCTCATTACAGTGGATTTTTGTTTCTAGTTAAGGCCTCTTGTCCCTTCCTTGGAAGCTGCCACATTCAGGAGGGGATTAGGAGCTTGGCATGCATAAGAATGGGGTTGCTTGTGCCACTGGCTGGGATGAAAGGATGGGGCCATGCCTTGGGGCATGAGACCCTAATACTTAGTCCCTTGCTCCTCAAAGCCCTTTACAAATCTTAATTAACTCCCTGCAGCACCCCAGGGAGGGAAATAATGTGGAACTGGGGAAATTGAGGCCAGAGGAGAGATACACTGACTATCTATAAACACGTTAACATTTTATTGGAGACCAAGTTTGCTAGCCTACTAATTAACATTGTATTTTTAAACATCTACTCCCAAAGGGAAGGAGAATTTTAAAAGGGAAAAAACTTGTTTGGAGGCATACCACCTATTACACAAAGTGCACAGAAACATTAGCAGAACAAGGGTAAGAAGTTTCATACATCCACTCCAGTGACTTTGTACCAGTCTTCAAGCTCATGTTGGAAGCCAGCTAGGCTGCAGCTTCCCTTGGTTGCATGCAAAGCAAGAAGGAAGGAAAAGTTTAAGACTATTCTTGGCGGGCGGCGGCAGGGGGGGAGTGGGGCGGTGGTTCATCTCTAGGGCTTTCTTTGAACATGCCTGGTAAAAGCAGCCCTTTCATCAGAAAGTGGAAGATAGACTGCAATCCAAAGTGAGAAACTAAAAGCAGGTTCTTTAAAAATTGTAAAGATTATTTTGTTCACTTGCTGTTTTGAAAAATTTTTCAGTGCTTCAAATTCCTAAAACAGTTTTCCACAAAGGTTTGGTACAGAGCTAATGCCCTTGGTTTTTCTATCAGTTAACTGATGGCCTTTCTTTTATTTATAATTAGAAGTCATTCTTACAGCAGAGCTCTTTTTGGCCTCAATCCTGTTTTGAGTTTTTTAGGTAGGTCCTGAGAATCTGCAAATCCTAAAATCTGAGTTCCTTACATCAGCACAAAATGAATTGATATCAGGTGCGTTTTACCAGGGCTAGGAAAAACCGAAAGGATTAGATCCACTAAGACAATAAAAGTCAAAACAAAATTAAAGACTTGTATCAAGGCTCTAAAGCCCAGTTCTAAGGCCTTCCGCAAACGGGACGTTTCCTTACGCTATTTTCAGTCCTTAAACTGCCACCGACCGCTAAGAAGCCCTAACATTTATAAGGTAGAGATCCCCGAATTTCTGTGCTGTAGCGCAGCCCGTTTGAGAAGACACAACCTGTGGATCTACCGACCCCTCGGATCCGCCAAGTGGTCTCGACCCCGCCTTCCCCCGCCGGGTCCTCAGCACGTGGCCTAGAGTCGGACCGCCCACCACACGGTCACGTGAGCGTGCTTTCCTCCTGGCACCCGGGAGTGCGAATTGCAACCCGGCGCACTCGCGCCGCTCCTCCTCCCGTTCTGCAGGCTCAGAGCAGGGCCACGCCCATCGGGCGGGAAGGGACGTATCCCGGCGCCCAAGGATGACGTATTCTTCCAGCGCCAGGCGGTGAGGAAGTGTTGACCCACAGAAGCAGTTGGAAGGCGCCTGGCGGAGCCCAGCAGGTGTTACGTTCAAACGGTGAGCGAGAGGAGACAGGTGACTGGACGGGGAGGCAGCCATGGAAGAGACAAAGGGGACAGTGGAAAAGACAAGTGAGAGGGTAAACAATTGGGAGACCACCGAAGTAGGAGGTAACGGCGATGACAACTGAGGGATTAGTTTTACTGGGAGATAGAGGGTGGGAAACGGTCTGGGAAAGACGGAGAAGGAAGAAGCGGGGAAGGATTGTGGTGTAGGCACTATGATGTGGCAGGAAGTAGACTTAGATGTTCAGAAAAAGCCAGTGCAGATACCGAGGAAAAGGGGAAGGGAGCAAGGTCCACTGAGCTAGGAGAACCAAGGAAAGGCCTCGACCTCAAAAGTCCTATTGGCTTATTTATACATTCTGGGTGCTGAAAGATTGGAGGCTTAGACTAGTGTCTTTGGATTCTAATGCTGGCTTCTCTCCACAGTCCAGGTGAATCTCTACAAGTCAGCTGTAGCTGTTTGCAAGCCTTAGGGACTTATGATTCACTTTCTTGTTTATCCAAGGTTTCCTGGCTGGTATTTTCTTATTCTGGGTTTGTCTTCCACTTGGGCAAGAACTATGTCATGGATCAAGGAAGGAGAGTTGTCACTGTGGGAGCGGTTCTGTGCCAATATTATAAAGGTGAGCAGTGGCCTACAGTACTAGTTGACCTCCTGGTCAGTCGGGTAATTTTATATCAAAAACTGTTATTCAAATTGAGTAATCCATGATGTTGAGTGGAATTTATCAATACAAGGTAACTTCCAGGTCTGCATTTCTGATAGATTATTGTCCTAATCCTAACATTTTCAGGAAGCCCACGACCTCCTAATAGCATCATTGGTCAGCCTAGACTGTTAGGTCTTCCTTATAGAGAACTGAAATTGGTTTCCCTGGAACTTTGATCTATTATTCCCAGTGCTGTCCTCTGGATTTAGATAAAATAACATATCTTTCTTTGATATAGTAGCGCATAATGGCTGAGCTTGGGTTTTGGGGGCAAATATGAACAAAGATCCTATTCTATCATTTATTAACAATATAACTTTAAATGATTGCTTTGAAGATTAAATGAAACATACATAGAAAGCATTCTGCTCAGTGTCTAGCAGTTCCTAGTGACTACCATTACAGGGGCTGTCTTTTGACCATGCGAAGACTATAATCAACGTATTTCCTATACCCCCCCTTGCTTCCCCAAATCTTCCATAAGCTTTTTCTCTAAGTTTTACAACAATATTATATCCTCAGCATATGACAGGTTTGAGATTGAAGCCAGTCAGCTTGATTTTGCTTTTCAGCCACAGACTGTCAAGTAGTGGGTAGCAGTGAACTTATAAGTCAGTAAGTCTTATACCCACTCTCACACTCACCAAGGGTCCTCAGACAGGCTAGGATGTGGAAATATCTCCTCAGGGAACCACTGCAGTCATGTGTTGGGAAGAACAAGCTGCATGACTTGACTGGAATTTTTTTTAACACCTACGTGTCGGGGACAAAAGTAGAAAATGTTGGAGAAGTACAAGGGAAGCAGTCTGTGAAGAGCCCTCCAGCGAGGGAAAATAGGCTAAGAAGTGGATTTTTGCTGTGGTAGACAACTAAAGGCTGCCCTAGGCCAGATAAGAAGTTTTATTTGGCCCTCAAAATATCTTCTGTTTGCTTTGAAATGGCTCCTGACATTTAAATTTTTTATAAAAATCCAGACATTTGGCATCTCTTGTAAAATTGGAATATCCAACAACATTAGGCCCCATTGATGTGTGTCAGCAATTGGATAGAACTGAGGTATGAATGCCTCTTTATGTGGAGGATGCCCTCTCCATTTGACCACACCCACTGATATCCTTCCGGGGCCTTCCAATTAGAGACTGATGAAACCAAGGTGTTGGTTAAGATCATATGGGTAAAAGATGAACCTCAATTTGAATCTCCACTTTGCCTCCTACCTATATGACTTATGCAAGTCTCTTGACTTCTCTAAGCCTCAGATTTTTCACCTATAAAATGAAGATGATACTATACACTTTATAGATTTAAGGTGATGTGTAAAAGCCTAGTATATTGCTTAGCATGTAGTAAGTGCCTAATAAATATATAAATAAATAAAAAATGCATAATACCCATTTATTGAGCTAAGAGCACAAAATACCCAATACCCTTCCTTGGGGCTTTTATCATCTAGCTCAAGCCTATCAACTTGGAGTATAATGTTCCCCTTAGTCACTGAAGAGTATGTGATGTTTTTATCATTTCTCTTCTTATTTTACAGGCAGGCCCAATACCCAAACACATTGCATTTATCATGGATGGGAACCGTCGCTATGCCAAGAAGTGCCAAGTGGAGCGGCAGGAGGGCCACTCACAGGGCTTCAACAAGCTGGCTGAGGTGGGTGTGGGTGGCAGAACCCAAGGTAAACAGTCTGTAGAGAATTGGATTATAGCTAGAAAATCAGGCCATGAGTTTGTTGTGGTTTGAGAATGTTTTTATAGCTGTTTATTTTATTGTGTGTTTCCTAGCTATAGGTCTCTTACAAACATTAACAAAAATTGAATCATTCCAATGACTCATCACAAAATATTAGAAATAAGAGCAAAATTGCCTCCTCTTACCACTTCTAACCAGTCAACAGTTTATATTTTTCTGTGTCTCATCCCATTCCTTATAACATGTTTTAATATGACTTAACATTTATAAAATTGCATCTATAGCTTCAATATCTTTATTTTTACTTGACATTTTTGCAAATATTTTTCTAGGTTGATAGGCTTTTCTAACTATGTTTTAATGATTGCAGAACATTTTATGAGGATCTGACATAATTTGTTTAGCTGCTCCACTATTATGGGACATTATAAATAGTACTATTTTAGAATAAATTCTACAAAGTGACATTTCTGGAGCAAAGATGGAGTGACTAGCCTTCCTAGTTTGCTTGAGTCTGAGGGCTTCTCAGGACACAGATCTTTTAGTGCTTAAACTGAGAAAAGAGCCAGACAAACTGGGATACTACTCTAAACAAAGGTCATGAACATTTTATGGTTTTTAATACATATGTTGCAAAGTGGAAAACATTAAATCTAACAGTAAGGATAGACTATGTCAGTCTTTGTGAAACTAACTTTAAGAAGAGTAGGAATGTGGACTGTAGCTTCTTGGCACAAGAACATGGCCTGATGCTAGAGCAGTGATTTTTTTTTTTTTTTTTTTGCTTTGAGCAAGTGGCCATGGGATTCTCTCCAGTACTGTGTGGAGGTGTTTAAATTTGTTGACCCCTAGCGTCTCTTTTGTGACTAATTAAGAGGCAGTTTGCCTGGTGCTTAGGAGCTTAAGCTCTGGAGTCACTCAGAACTCATTGTCACCGTTACTCTGCCATTTCCTGGCTCTGTGTCTTGCATAGAGTTATGTAGCTTCTCTTTGTCTTAGTTTCTCCATATGTAAAATAGGAATAGCGTTAATCTCTACCTCAGGAAATTATGTGAGGATTAAACAAGATGATACAATAAAAACATGTGGCACAGAACCTGGCATAAAGGAAGTGCTCAAAAAATTGAAGCTGTTGTTTTTGGCATCTGTATTGACCAAAGTCAGTGGTGGGTTCCAACCCAGATGTGCCAGCCAAGAACCTCTGTAGCCCTGAGCCTACTCAGGTGTAAGATTCTCACTGGTAATTTTCATAAGGTGGCAGTGAATTGGTTTGTGTATATGTCTGAAGGGATTAGTGTTAAGACAGGGAGCCTAGAGGTTAAAGGTAAGGGATAGAAGACATTCAGATAGACTAAAGAAAAACTGAAGAGCTGTCAGTATAGATAGCTTCTGTCATTGTAGAACTTCATATAGTGGATTCATACAGTAGAGTTGTGGACTTCTGACACATTTCTTCAATTCTCTGAGCCTCAGTTTTATCGTTTATAAAGTCGGTATGAAAACAGTAATGCCAATCTCGGGGTTGTTTGAAGAATCAGTTGAAATAATACATGTGAACATCCTTTGCAAACTCAAATGCTGCACAGCTGTGCAGTTGTTGCTTTTATTCTTATAACCTGTCAGCCTCTCAGTCTACCAGAATAACAAAACTATGCCATGAGTAATAATACCTTGTGTTTTTATATTGTTCTCTGTCAGGAATGGATCGTGATGTCCTACAGTTAAAGAGACTTAGGCATGGAGAGATTAAATGATTTGGCCACAGTCACATAGCAAGTGCATGATGGAGCCAAGACTAGAACCTAGATCTTTACTCTCTCAGGGAAGAGTTCTTTCCAGTAGACCACAGTGGTGTCAACACAGTAAAATTCATTAAATTCAAGTTCACATTTTCGGTTTCTCAGGTGGTGGCTTTCTGCATATTTGGTTCATTCTTCTTACAGAAGCACTGTGTTATCCTAGCTTTATCCAGGTTTGGGGAGGAGAAAAGTCCATCTCTCACCTCCAGCAATGAGCTGGGGCCAAGGCATCCCTTATTTCTCTTCCCACTCTTCCTTGTACCCTAGCTCCTTGTCTTCTCCCTTCTCAGACTCTGCACTGGTGTCTGAACCTGGGCATCCGGGAGGTGACGGTCTACGCGTTCAGCATTGAGAACTTCAAACGGTCCAAGAGTGAAGTAGAAGGGCTAATGGATATGGCCCGGCAGAAGTTCAGCCGCTTGCTGGAGGAACAGTAAGATGCTGTCAGAGGGGAGAGTGTATTCCACCACCACCTCCAGCTTTACCCTAACTCTCAACTCTCTTATCTGAGGCTTATTTAAGGAACTCTGAACCCTTTTAATGTTCGTCAGCTCTCTTTGGTGGCACACATGGCAAGCTAGTTTTTTTTCACCCCCAAAGGGGACATTTATTTGAGGATAAGGAGGTATTTCACAGAATTCAACGACAGGTACAGCCAGCCTCAACCAAAACTGAAACCAGGATTGAAATCCATTAGGTAGAGCTTCTTTGTACACTTCCTTCTCTCTGAGGACCTGTGCTTCACGAGAGCAGCCCAGAATGAACTAAACCCTTTCATTAGCCCATCTTAGATCAGATTTCTACCCCAGGACCGGTAAACTGTGGCCAGGGGAGAAGAATGAGAGAAAAATTGAAAAAGTCATTTTCTGCTGTGTATCCATCCCTAAAAAGTTAATATACTCTCCTGCATGTTCTCTTGAAAGGAATGGGATGATGCATAAGGCCTTTTTGGGGAAGAATCAGTACCATTCTTAGCTGTCATTAGGTCTAAGCTTAACTTAGGGATCGGAGCCAGAAAGAGGCAGAGAAGATTGATAGAGCTTATTTGTTTTAAAGTGTAAAACTCTCTCCAGCCAGGACTGCCCAAAAGTCTTCATTACAACCATTCTCTGCTCAGCTCCTCCCCACACCAGCACCAGGAAGATGAGAGAACAGATTGCCTAGAGCTCCCGTGAAGCTGAGCCTAGCACTTCTGTCATTTCTGTCCGTGTGTAGGTCAGGGTGGTGGAGAGGGTAGGCAGGCTTCTCTCTGTCCATATTAGAATGGTGAGACTCTGGGCCATAGACAATGCGCCCTGGCCCTCAGCAGAGCCCATGTGGCTCAGAGTTCACACCCAAGGGGCTAGAGATGGAGGCATGGGGGCACATTCTAGGTTTTCAGACTCTTCTATATTTCACACTCTTCTTACCTTTTTAAACTGCTCATACTTTGTGTCAGGCCCTGAACTGAACATGTATTCTCATTTAATAGTCACATTATCTGGGTCTATGGCCATGCCACCCTGAACGTGCCCAATCTCATCTGATTTTGAAAGCTAAGCAGGGTCGGGCTTGGTTAATACTTGGATGGGAGACCACCTAGGAATACCAGGTGCTGTAGGCATTAAATAATAATAATAATAATAATAATATTCACATTATCTTGTGAGAAAGATATTATTATCCCAATGAGAAAAGTAAAAATCGGAGAAGTTTAGGTGTGATCTTGGGTCACACAGCTATCAGATAGGCAGAGCCAAGACAGACAGCATCTTTCTAACTCCAGAGATAGGCTGTTGTCTACTACATTGTACTCAGAGACAGGAGGCAATCTGAGTTTCTGAAAGATCAAAATGCAGTAGAGGTGCTACTGAGATTGCTCTAGTCAGTCAGTAGTAGAGAAATGGTCTTAGATTATGAAGTTCTGGACAGAGCAAGAAACCCTAGCCATGGTTTTCCAACAATGTGCCACAGAACCCCAGAGTTCTAGGAGTGGGCATGCAAAGAGCCCAGAGGGAATGGGGTATAGGGTGCCAGTTCACATTTAACTATTTTCTATCTTGGGCTTCTGTTTACAATTTGAAGAAAGAGTTCTTTGGCTAAAAGAAGGTTGGAAAACCAGTGGCCTAGTTTAGTTTCATCAGTTGGGAAGCTAAACTCTAGTGAAGAGAAGAGAAAGGCTTGCCCATGGTCACACAGCAAGCTAGTGGCAGAGCTAGGGCTCCAGACACCTCCTCACCAGGGCTTTTGCAGCAACTTCTACATTATAGACCTCACTCGAGTCATACGCCTAGTGCCTGAGAATAAGCACTTTTGCCTTCTCTGTCTTAGTCAGCACAAGCCAAAGCAGATCGTATGGCAAGGATGGTTATCAGCCCAGTTTACAGGGTGAGGAAAACTGAACTCAGAGAAGCTAAATAGTTATGCAAGGTCACCTACTCAGCAGTAGTACTAGGACTTGAATCTAGGTATTCTTATTCACATTTTGCCTTGATTTGAGTATACATTTGTTTACTATAGTTCCGGTGGGTTCTCAAAAATAGGTGATTAGATCTTGCATCACCCTTGAAGAAATGTGGTTGGGTGTTATAGGGTGGTTAGGCTGTGGATGTGGCCTTCCGTTCTGGATCAGGTTTCTCCAGGACTTGCCGGATACCCCCACCTTACAGTATATTTCTTGTTATTAAGTTCCTGTTTTCCAAACATTAGTTGTTCAGTTTCTCCATAGCATTCCCAGGTGAGAGAAGTTGGTTGGGTGACAGTGAATCATGTTCCCCATTCAGTTTGGGAGTTACTGTATGGAGGCAGTGTAATGTCATGATTAGGAGGTCAAGCTCTGCAACCAGACTCACTAGGGTCAAATTCTAGCTTTCTGCTCCCAGCACTCTGATCTTGAGCAAATCACCCAACCTCCATCTGCCTCATTTTCCTCGCCTGTAAAAAAGGAATGATAACGTCTGCCTCCAACGTTAGTGTAACTATGGAATGTGTTGATGTGTGAAGACTGGTTAGACCATTTTCTGGCACTTAGTAAAACGTATAATTAATGTTAGATGTCACTCATCATATTTTGCCAGAAGACACAAAGGTAACCAATAATACAGCTTCTGCCCTTGAGCAGTTTATTCATTTGTCAAAATGAGACAAGCATAGCACAGAATATGTAAAATGCAACTTGCCAACAAGGACACATGAGACGGTCTCATATGCGGGTCCTCAAATCAGACAGACATGGGTTTCAGTCCTGACACAGCACTTGATGTCCATATGATCTTGGGCAATCTCTGTCTAACTATCCCATCTGAGCTCAGTTTCCCTCTATAGAACGGGGAATGTGGTGAACTCCTTTCAGAGTTGTTGAGGGGATGCAGTGAAATAATATGGGTAGGACAGTGCCTGACACACAAGAAAGCACTCAAAAACTGGTAGTTGTGTATCATCTAAGCACTCTGTTCTCCAGCTCAGCAGGTGCTTTGTCCCAACCCTGCCTCCTTTCCCCCAATCAGGGAGAAACTGCAGAAGCATGGGGTATGTATCCGGGTCCTAGGTGATCTGCATTTGTTACCCTTGGATCTCCAGGAGCTAATGGCACAAGCTGTGCAGGCCACTAAGAACTACAACAAGTAAGTTTTCAGATTTCCCGTTGGGGACATGTATCAGTCTTTGACTCCCTGCTAGCTTGAGGAAGAAAGACATCCTGCCTTCCTTGGTCTGCATTTGATACGGAGGCAATGAGGGGGTGGTTTGGGATGCTTAGAGACTTCCTCCTTTGTCTTCAGGGCAGACCAGAGATGGTTCTGCAGCACCATGTTGTATGTGTGTATACTCACACGTACAGTTTCTCATCTTTTCCGTCACAGGGGAGGGCATGGGAATGCAGCAGGCCTTATCCCTGCCTCTGAAGACAAATCCTTCAAGAAATTATTTTTCTGTCCCACTCCTTTAACCTACAGATAGGATGACCTTGGGAGATTGTGCAGATGCAAAGGGGAACAGAGTTCATTTCATTTGACTTTAAATATATATGTTTGGCAGTGGATTTGTTTTGCATTAGATTTCCTTCCTACTGTCCTTTGCTTGTGCTAATATCACAGTGGATTCACTTTCTCTGAAAGCTGTTGGCAGTAGAAAGGGAGAGGATAGGAGAGTAATAAAGGTCATTTAGTATTAAATTACAAAACTAATAAAATGTTTATTCCAAGAAAACCCAGAAAACACAAAAAATTCATAATCTGGCCTTTCAGAGGTGTCCATGGTTAACATTTGGTGTATGTCTGTTCTTCCAGAGAAAGAATGCTCTGGAGTCAGTGATTCCAATCCTTTGACCCTGTCCCACTTTGGTAAATTATTATTTTCTTCCTCAGGTGTTTCCTGAATGTCTGCTTTGCATACACGTCCCGTCACGAGATCAGTAATGCTGTGAGAGAGATGGCCTGGGGAGTGGAGCAAGGCCTGCTGGATCCCAGGTATCCCTAGTTGTTTAGCATGGTAACTGATACAGAAAACAGGCGTGCACCAAACCATGATATCCCTCCTAAATCACATACTTGGGCCAGAAGTCAAATCAGGCATGCTCGTAGAAAGATTTGGGTGTGGGGTGGCACCCCACATGTAAGAGCTTAGTATTGGCTTATATCAGCCAATCTCTGCTCACAGCATACCAAGAAGCCCCAGAAAAACGGCATAGCAGGTAGGAACTCTGTGGCATTTGATAAAAAAATGAGTCCTTCCCAGCCCTTTGGCAATGTTTTCCAAGAATGTTTTTCAGGAATGCACTTTGTTGGGGTATAGTCCTTTAGATCTCCCAGGTTACAGTTTCATGCAAGATTCAGGGATTTTTCAAAAAGAAAAATTGTTCATCATTAGCAACATAATGGAATCCTAATTGTTAGAGCTGGGCTAGACTTTAGAAGCCATCTGTCTACTCAGTCCCTCTCATATTATTAATGTTACCTTTGATAATATTAGTAAATAATAATAGTAATAGTAAAATAATAGTAGCAAAAAGAAATAACCCAGGCAGTCTGTTATGTTCTGTATTTTATTAAGTCATTAATCTCATGTGTGAGATTCGAGTCTTTTCTCTATTTAATAGGTGAGAAAGCTGAGCTCAGCATTAAAGTGACTTTCCCAAGGTCATTCTGCTAGTAAGTGCCAGAGCTGGGACTTATATCTAAAGCTGTCTGATTCCAGAATCCTTGTCCTTTACCTCTATTATATGGGATCTTAGGACCCAGGAATTTTTCTGATTTCCTTTCTCAGGTATAATTCGATTTACCTGGGAAACGAAATTAAAAATTAAGTTAATAGGTGAGAATGGAATTAGATAAAAAGGAAAGTGGACAATTTTTAAGGCTATTTTATGAATCTTTCTCCTCTCCAACAGCTGTGATCATTCTGTGCCACATAGTTCATTCATTCAATTAATTATTCATTCAACAAATGTCTTTTAAGTGCCAACTAAAGGCCAGGTGCATTGCTGTATGTAGGGGATACAATGGTAAGAATTAAGATTATACGAATTAGCATAAAATTATAATGGTAATAAATGCTATAAAGGCATTGGCGCATAGTATAACAAGAATTTATAAGAGCAATAGATCAGGTAGGGAAGGCTCCCCCAAGGAAATGATAAGTGATCTAAGAAGGAAGAATAAGCAGTAACTGGGGAAAGAGGCAGTAGTGTGAGGAGCTTGTTGGTTGCAGAAGGACCGTTGGAAGGCTCTTGTGATAATTCAAATGCAGAGTACCTGGAAGGGAGTTGGGATGTGGTTGTGGTGGTAGAATAGATTGAACAGAGTACAAGAGCTATGAAGTAGATAAAATCAAGGGGACTTGATGGACTGACCCTGGGCAAGGGGTGTGTTAAAGGTGACTCCAACGTTTTTGACATACAAAAACAGTGGATAGTGGTGCCCTTCACTGTGCTAAGGAATCCTGAGAGAGGATCCAATTTGAGGAAGAAGATCAGGGGTTTGGTTTAGGATATACTGTAGATGTTAAACATAGATGTCAGGTTGACATTTGAGAGAAGACTGGAGATACTAGTACAGAGATCATCTGTGTGTAGGTGGCAAAGCGAGGGCATGAGGAAGCTAAGGAGAGCCTAGAATGAGAAGAGAGGGCCTAGAATGGAGTTTTGAGAAACATAAATTTTACTGGCTGAGTAGAGGAGAATGAGCCTTAAGGAAAAAAGAGAACAACCAGAAAAGTAGGAAGAAAACCAGGCAGTCAATATTACGGAAGCCAAGAAAAGAAAGAATTTGTTTATGTGGATTAGCGGGGACATGGGCACTGGTGGGAACAACAGCGTCAGATGCTGTAGAGAGGTCAGTTAAGATGTGGATTTAAAATTAACTATTGGGGAAAAAATTAAGATACTAGTTAAGTTGGTAGAGCGGGGACCAAGCAAGAAGATGAGATATGTAAGATGAGGGTTATATAAGTAGATGCAAGTTCTTGGCTTGGGGAGTGTTTTCACAATTATTTATTATATTATTGTGCTTTACGATTAATGCTTTATATTATCATTTTTACAGATGAAATAATATCATTGAATCTTGAATAATGTGGAGGTTAAGGGTACCGACCGCCCATGTAGTTGAAAATCCGAGTTTATCTATAGTTGACCCTCCGCATCCATAGATTCCTAACCATGGATCAAAAATACACTTGACCGGGAGGGGTGGCTCCATAGTGTAGTTGTTAGCACATCTGCTTTGCAGGCAGAAGGTCCTGGGTTCACACCCCAGGTGGAGCCATGGATCATACCTCGGGTGCGCCAGGCCCCAGGTGCACAACACGAGCGTGTGGGAGGGGATGCCCCGCCTTCAGAGATCCAGTTCTTAAGGGGAAACAGCAACATCTATTCCATGGGTCAGGGGTGGAAGTGGCGGGGAATTAAAGAGGGGGGAAAAAAAAATACACTTGACCTTTGAACAACGCAGGTTTGAACTGAGCAGTTCTACTTATATGTGGAATTCATCAACTGTATATTAAAAATAATAAGGGATAAATGCTTATGTTATAAATAAAGCTATTTTTATTTATTTTCTAAATGCCTACAGCACCTTGTCTTCCTAGGTGGTCTCCCATCCAAGTACTAACCAGGCCCGACCCTGCTTAACTTCCGAGATCAGACGAGATTGGGCACGTTCAAGGTGGCATGGCCGTAGACTATAAAGAAAGCTATTTAGCAAGCAGATTTAATATACATTTTCATGCCTAAGACTAGAACTCTGATCTTGACTCCCAGTTCAGCATACTTTGTACTCACATCACATTACAATAACCCTGACCTTTATCTTCTTTCTGCTTCTTGCCCAGGAAGTTGTCCCATATCCATTTTCTCTGTCCTGCATGGTTTAGTAACTTGCCTTTGTGGGGTTAGTCATGCAGACGTTGTTGGGTTGGCCATGGTCACCAGGGTAAGGTGGCTGGTGTCTCAGCCCACAAGTGCAGGAAGCTTGGAGTTTGGCTCAGACTGGGGTAAGCAGGGCGTGAGGTGGTGCTCTTTACATTATTCAAATTTAGACAAATCTACATTTATAACAGAGTCAGTTAATTACAATTAAGCTCTACTCTTGAAGTAGCTGGAATTTTCTTACTCTCATTACCACCATCCAATTCCTCATTTTCCTTTTTTCCAGGGTATATTTTTTTTCTAACATTCATATTAATGTTAGATTGATTTTTGAGTCTAGAATTACAGAAAAGAGATAAGGTTGAACATAAAGGATGGTTAATAAACTCTTTCACTGAGTTACTGTGAGCAGGTCACTTGACCCCCTGTGGGCCTCTAAAAACAATAATGTAAATAATAATAATTG